TTAAAGAGTACTAAAACAGCCACTAATCTATTTTTATAGTCAGTTTATTTTTTCTTCTTCTTAATAATATTTTACCTATTCATCGTCATTTTTGCATATTGAAAATAACCAGGTGCTAAACTGCATAGCATGCTTTATAATTAAAAAAAGTCCTCACCTCATTATAGAAATAATATTATTAGATCTAGACTGTAATATTATAAAACAAATGCTAATTTTACCCATAAATATTTTTTGTAAAACGAATAATTTCAAAGTATAGATTCATGCTCTCACTACAGAAGTTAACCACGTGAATGAATACCACATCACAGTTAGAGAAAGTAGAATTTTCATTCTAAGCTTTGAAAATAAGCAATTTTGTACTTTTATTGATGAGTGATGAAAAAGTCTGCAAAGTTATTTGTTTGTTGCAGGGAATTATAATGTATGAATCCCGTAGGTGTTTGATGAAAACATTTATGATATGTTCTAATGAAAAGAAGAAGTAAAGATTTAACCCTTCAAAATTTATAGTCGTTTGGTTTTTAAATGTTAATTGTGTCATCTGAAATAGCTGGATAAGTTATCGTATAGACAAGGATAATGAACGAGTAGTTAATTCTACACTCACGAATGACAATACCAATCAATAAACGATCAGTTTTATGCATTTTAAGGTAGTATTCATCACAAACTAATATCAATTTGAGAACCATTGAAAACCTGAGAGCTCTAAACAACTGTTACATTCTAGTGTGGGACTTTTGAGCGGTGTGCACCCACGACCCTGCCAGGGATCGAAGCCAGGACCTTCAGGTTGCTTCACTGAGTCGGAATCCAACGATTCACATTTTCCCACTTCCTTGTTCGCTGCGTAACGTGAAGGTTCTGAGTCCGAACCCTACAGGGGCAGGATCATAAGTGCGCACTGCTGAGGAGTCCTATACTAGAATGAAATAGTTGTCTAGTCCTCTCAGGCTTTTCCCCCAACTGATACCAGTCTGTGATGAATACTAACTTGAAATCGGTAAATTGCCAAATAAAACCCTAAATTATTGTTGTTATCAGTGTGTAGAAAATGAGGTACATGTATTGAATTCACTTGTTCATCTGCGAAGGTGTAGTAAAGAATTCCTCCCAAAAATTCTATGTCGATTATAAAATGAAGCAGGTAATGTTCTAGTCTTTGTTTATGAACACAATTCTTATCCCATGGAACGAAGAAGAAAATTCCCTTTTTGACTATTTCATTTACCTAAAGCTATACAATCGTATTTATTAACATTGGTCATCGTCTGCCTCGTCACACAATGTTGGCCGAAGTAGGTTCAGGCTGGAAAAAGGTTCGAGGCGGCCAGACTAAAACATGATATCGATGTATGAAGTCTTTCACTGTTGGCTTGAGCCATGTGGGGCGATGCAGACTAAGTGGTTGGGGTCCGTGGGACAAGAGGAAGCAGTGGTTGGAGACTCTAGGTGATATGACTGGGAACCGATGTCACTGGTGCAGATGTATGCATACATTATCCTCATCTCAACGACGCTATACCCAATCTCACCATTTTGTCATTCTTCCTTCCTCTCTCTTAGTACTTTATATTTCTTTTGACTGAATTTTCTTTTCTTCATCTTGCACTTCACTGCCTTTTTGCTTGATGTACCTATATGAGGTGTAGCAACTCGGACTGTTACGCAGTAATGCCTGGTCTTAGGTTGGTGGATGATGATGAACATTGGAAATAAATAATACTCTACTATTGATCCATAGAGTCATGTGATTACTATGATGTTTAAGAGTAGCATAAACAAATTGTTTTTGAAGGTGGAAAGAAATGAGTACTCAGGCTGCTGAGCTCAGTAAATGCTCTTGAACACAAAAATCACGTTTGTGAATAATCCATCATCTGGCTTTTCATAGATAACATGATGGGTCATATTTTTGCCTCAGTACTTTCATTCAAGAATGTTCTTTTTTGTGTTTGTTACTTGAGTTTGAATGTCATTTGATAAATATATCTGCTAACACTTTTTGACTCACATTAAAGTTCAAGCGTTATATATGCATATTTTGTGTTTTACGTAACTCATAAAAGATTGTGTTAACATGTTATTAACTTGGTATACATAATCGGTTGCATTATTACTAGTTACCTTAAAGTAACAACGTAAGTAGAATTTTTTTTTTCTGCTTTTTGTAAATGAATTTGTTTTTAATTCCTTAATTAATGGGTATTTTTTTAGGTAACTGGGAGCGAGGATAATTTAGGACTTTTCTTAGTAGTAAGCCTCCTCAGTCTCCATTGGAATTGAACTCAAAGCCTGAGAAGTTTCCAAGTAAAAAGGGGGGATCAGTGATCAGTGATGCCATATATGCTATACAAAATCCTCGAAATACCTACTGCCAATGTAATTATCGAAAGCAATATGTATCTCATTATTTACTGGTTAGGCTTTTGTTGACGTTTAACAATAGAATTATAAATTACACTCGAAAAATAAGCGTCAAACAATTTGGCAAAGGTCAAAATATACAAGTCAGCGCTTCCCAGAATGAACCTACCGTTATGGTATTTATTATTATTATTATCATTATTATTTTTCCCTTGGGTTCCTAGTGCAACATAGTAGCACACCTCCATTGCACTCTCTTCTCTCCAGTCTTTCCAACCTCGATCCACCAATGCCCACAACCTTTCATTTCTTCCTCACATCATCTACAACATGTCACCCTCGCCTTCGACGCACAACTCATCGTTTCCCCTTTCGATTCCACTCGACGGCCCGGCCTGGGGCGTGGCACGTGATCTCTCCAGTCGGCCTTCTCAGTGTATGCCCAATCCAATCCATCTCCACTTACTTCTTCTCCATATTTGTTCAGTGATAGGTTCTTGGTTGCTTGGTTCCCACAGTTACTTCTTGCTCATTCTTACTATTCTGGCCATTTGATCTGCAGTAACGAACCAATGTAGGCAGCTGTTGGTGAATGCCTGTAGTTTATTGGAAATCCCTTTCGTGACGCGCCACGTTTCTCAACCATATGGAAGCACTAACTCGACTGACACTAATGTTGATCACTAGAATAGTATGTAGTTGACTTGACCTGAAGAAGGTTTGTTCAGGTTATTAGGTTCCTAAGTAACAGGTATTTCTATGAATATTTAAAAAATGCGTTACTGAGTTTTCAGGTAGAAGAAATTCTATTCAAACTGTGACATAATGCGAGGTTACATAAAATGATGTCAAGATGGTGGATTTACACCAGCATGTTCAACTACTAGGCTGTAAGCAGCATATATTTCGTGACTTCAAGCGTGGCCGTCTGTCTGTAAAAACTCTGATAAGGGAAATAGAATCGGAATCTTTAGGTCACTAGTTAAACGTCAAGTTCATAAGTGAGCTAATTAATCACAATGCAACACTTATTCGTAAGAACTATTACCACCAATGTGTAACGGTAAGGAATGGGTAAGGGGCATTAAGTACCAATCGCGCAAGCACCAAAGCCAACTTGCTATGCCTTTTAATCTGTAAAATTCATTACTAATTTCTTCATTTTCAATCAGAAGTCATGATATTATGTCACAAATCGAAAGTTTTGCTTCATGTCAACAGATGATGATCTTGATGAAAGTAAACAAGCAAACAAGAATGCAATGTCTAAGAATGATTAGAATAAATGCAGTCGTAACAGTAGTTGTTGATTTCATATGGAAAATATGTGTAGAATACATTCTGCGTTCGTCAAGTTTAGGTATTTGTCAAAAGTAAACACCAATAAACTGTTTTAAATATATCCAGCGTAATATTTTCATATAAATTACTGAGGACGTTTTGTCTAATAGTTATCATCAATACTACTACCAATATTTATAATCTCGTGTTGTTTAGATATTCAAGGCATGACGTCATTTTTGAAACCAGCCAAATATCGATGCTAGGCAGTGTCAGTCATCAATCCTGAAAACTATTCGATACTGTGCAATATGAAAAACTTGCCACTATCATCGTATATATATATACACGATGATAGTGGCAAGTTTTTCATATTGTACAGTATTGAAATAATGACCAACTAAACGATCACAACTCAATCAATGTAGTGTGCATACATATGAGTTAAGTACCTGTAGGTGTTTTGATACTATTAATTTGTTGAAGACAATCAGAACAAACGAATGTACCTAGGTCCTTTGGTTATTGATACTCATCCAGAAGACATATGAAACACCCCTGAGAAGTTCTTTCCATCTCAGAGATCCAAACTTTCATCATTCATTATTTAATAACTAGCGACTTTATGAAGGAACTGTCTACGCATCTATGGACCTTGTGTGCGATACGATTGAAGATATCCGCTGATCACTGAAGAATAACCAGTGCCATGCCTAGTCCTAGATGCTATTTTCAATAGTGAGTATGTGACGTCAATCTTATGTGTGATTCATTAGTCGAATTCAAATGCAATTCAGTGTGTGTACATGTTTTCATTGAAACTTGAACTTAGCATCTTTCGTTTCAAACACCAAATCGTTATTCAGTGGACTACTTAGTTATGATAGTTGTATGTTGTTCAACAGGTGCTAGTGGTTAATAAAGTCTTGTTCATTGCTATTGTTAATAAAGGCTATATATAAAAAATTCAATACAAAGAGTCTGTGCTCCAACAGAAACAGACTACCTCATCATCAACAGTTTCGTTCGTAGCCACATGCGATAGGTAGTCCTCAAACACGTATAAAACGCGGACAATGAAACAAGAGTGTAATCTACATGAATTGGTCATAAGACTGGTAGTTGGTGTAGCTGTCAAAGCACCTATTGTTGATTGAAGTCTATCACCCAAGAGTACAGTCTACACAAGACTGCCTCTTTATTAGCGTAATTGTAAGAAAAGGTCAACTAATTGTATAGATTTTGTATATTTTTATTAATGACCTGTATCTGGTATATATATATCACTAACCGGGTTTTAACTTTCACCTAATTATAGTTGTACTTATTTTAATGGTTATACATAGGAACCAGTTGCCAAAAAAATCATTGTCGTGAATATACCAATGACGGTAATCAATCAGTATTATCAAAATGATTTTCTAAATTTTTATTTACTCTTATTTCAATTTTTGTTTCATGTTCTTCATCCTTCTCTGAAGAAATACTTCTTCATTGCACTTACTCTGATGTTTGCTCAACTCATCGTCATTAAAGCTGACTGACCAATGACCGGTATACAACTAAGCATATGCATAAATCTGCTATCAGTTGAGACTAACTAACCCCCCTCCTCCCTCTCATAGCATACTCTCTGTTCTTTATAACTTTGTAATTCATCAAGTACTTACATTTGTGTCATAAGAGATGATAACCATCTTTTATGTGTTTCTATGAGATAATGTGGTGCATGAGTGTATGTTAAATGATGCCTGCTCCATGTGAAAACAATCACATAGTCTCAAAAGTATTTTGGAAATAAATATCCCCTTTCTGAAATAGCAAGTTGTACACTTGTTAACTCAAACTCCATTTTTTATCAATCTCTCTCTACTTATTCATTTATGATCAATATTATTTTCATCTATCTGTTGAATCTTTTTTGTGTTCTATAAAATGAATATTCCACTTCATCCACTACTGAAAATAACTCAGTGTAATATGCAATCGCCCAAGGGGATTGATTAAAGTCTTCTAGTCAGTAGGAAATATAAATAGATAGTTGTAGTGTACTCTATTCATGAGAATTTGTCAGTTTTTATGAAGAAAACTAACGTATATCAACAACCAACGATGTATGTATATGTTGCATCACACTCTAACAAAAAGCATTTAACAGAGAACGGAATAGAACTCATTCCCGGTACACAAGAGCTGGCATAAATGGTGTCATAAAAATGAGGAACTACAAATATTACTCATCTAGCATGATGATAATCGTTATTGTGTAAATGAAGGGGGAGTGAATCAAAAATAACCCTATGAATGACTTAAACTGTCTGTAGAATCGAGGATGTGTAAGGAGCAAATTACTGTCTCAGACTACCCCGACATCTGCCAATCAAGCAGTTAGATACACATGCGCTTTTTATCCGAACCCATCTCTGAGTATTCTTCTTCTTCATTGCCCGAATGAGAGTGCAAGCCAACCAATCTCTACATTTTCAAGCATTGTATTAACTCTGGTCATTCTGCTCTATTAGAGTCTCCCATCAAACTGTTCTTTTATAGTAAAACCTAATGCTTCAAAAAAGCTGTATTGTTAACACTTACGCGCAGTATAAGTTTCAAGAACCTATCAGTGGAAACCTCAGAGAAGGCATATTTAGTGTGTTATTTTACTATGCTCATAAATCTTTCTTTATCTCTCATGTTTCCTTGATATTTACGAAAGGTAACGTCATCCTAATTTCTTTTACTTTCTCTGTAGCCGTTATTACTCAACTTCAAGTTATTCATCATTTTGAATATTTATCATATTGGATTCCATGTTTTTCTTACCTTGTCTAATATATATACATATCTAGAAAGAATTCAGTATTTCATCCTCATACATTTAGTAATGCTACGGTGCTACCACATCATCCCGTATTCACCTTCTTTGTTCATGGTGATCATCAATAGGATTTTGCATCTTTCCCTAACGAATACTGTCATTGAAAAGAATGTTGTCCTAAATGAACCGAATTGTATCAGTTTCTTATGATTCACTTTCCTTCTTCCATAGTTAGCTGTTTTTAAAATGCAACTGCCTGCATACATTCATTTTTATACTTTTAATAAAATATTGATACTACCATTAACATCACTATTATTATCATCGTATTCAGCTACCATCAAGAGAATCGATGGAACAACCAAGATGTCATGCCTGCGGAGAAGTTGTTTATCCTTTGGAAGCTTTACATACAATTGGTCGTGTTTATCATAAAACTTGTTTCAAATGTCATCACTGTCAACGTGTTCTAAGGTAAGATTTATGGTGATTTTATTGCTTGTATAACACATTTAACGATTCATATTTGGAAACTATTTCATATTGGTCAAATATCAACGAAAAGAATAATTAAAATAATGGAATGATACGTGGATTTATTCTATTTACTGGTAATATTTTATCAGCGATTAACCATGAAATATAGAGGCAATATAAGCTACGGAGCACCCTAACTTTCTGACTGCTTAATAGCGAGTACACTTTATCTAGAATAGGAATCATTTCCAGGGGATTTCAGTCGCATGGTTAACACATTTAACCTCAACTACTGGGATTAGAGCTAATTGTCTATATTCCGTTTCCTCAGGTAATATGAACTCTTACCACTTTGAAATTCATTTTGGATGATTCCTATATCGTCCAACTGTTTCTTAGTATCAGCATCATATATCAAATTCATTTAGCTCGGAAACGTCAGTTACCTCTAAAGTATCTGTCCACGACAGTACGCTGTCCACTACTTAGGAAAATCTTGTATGATAGGTTGTATTTCAATCATCTATTAATTTCGGTCAACACGAGTTCGTGTTCCGACTTGTCACACGATACTTTTTTTCGATAAATCAGTCTACATTATTGATAAGATATTCACTAAACTAAAACAAAGTGAGTATTAGCAACCATTTACCTAAATCCATCTATTTTTGAGATTCCGTATATCATATTTTCTCTTTTTGTACCTATTTCCACTACGCTTGTACACTTACGTTTTTAGAATCCTATGAAATGTTTATCAGTTTTCTAAGTCTCTGATGTTTTTAAGACAGTAAATAATCTTATCTTCGACTTTTCGCCTCTTTATTGAATGTATTTAATGAATTACAGATGGAGGTTCAGATGACTCATACTTCCCCTTTAGGAAGCCATCACAGGAAGTTTTGTTTCGTCTACTGAAAGCTGAAGAACTACAATCAGATTTTCTAAACTTGAGTATGAATGTATTTTGAAACTATAAATCGTTGACTCTTGACAAAAGTCTAATTCTTAAGTTGACTAAAATCATTTTAACCCTAAAACGTTTATTAGAGTATTTACTACGTTTTCATTAAACTATAGAACCTTGCCGTCATTGAATGACCACCAAACGACCTTGAACGAACCAATAAGAAAACGATCGTTCCTTTCTAGGTTTTCATGCAAACGGTAGATACGAATTTTTGAACGATATTTTTAGCTGCTTTGTTCTGCTTAAAGTAGAATACGTATGACTACATGAAAATGAACCACCTGAACTGTGGTATAGGTACAAATATGCCTTCAACTGGTCTCCCATCGCCATTATTTTATTTTTGTGAACCCCTTTAGAAGGACCTAAGGATTACAGTTCGATAATTTTAAAGGACATTTGTGTCATGACATTGGGTATTGATTTGATTTCAAAGTAAAAAACTTGAAAACTAAGTCATAAAGTGAGTAACAAACAGTGAATAAGACCTTATCTCTTTGCTTGCTGTTCTATTACCTGTTAAGTACTGCTAAGTTACTTGGGGTTAAACGGTAGGGTTTAGGGAGTTAAAATGAAGGTTGTGGTTAGGTTTCAGGGTACGCAACCTGATCGTAAAGCGTAAACTAGTGTGAACTTACGTATATATAATTTTTGTCTCTAATGAGAAATACAAGCTGGTGAAAAGTTCCTCGGAATTAGCAAACATTGCGAGATGATAGTACGGAAAATAATTACCCTCGATTTAGTCGGAACTACCATCATCAAAACTGTGCATACGCCTGTCTATAATCAGTGGTATCATTTCAGTCATGAAAATCTTCCCAGAGCGATCTTACATTCATTTGAAGGTTCTTTGGTAGTTGTCCAAGGATGGTAAAATTCTATAATACCACCACGTTTCCTTTATTGACTTAAGCTTCGTATTCTTAAGCTGTATGTCTCTAATGACTCAGTCTGGTGAAATTATATTTAATGGTTGCATTGTTTCACTATCGCTTTTTGTGTAGTATTAATAAAAGGTAACCAGGATTGAGTGGACTGCTACCATCTTGAATGAAAAATTGGCTTCAACTCATCAACTGAAAGTGATATATCGTAATTAACGGTTAACCTCCTAGCTGGAGAAAATTCAAGCAACTTCAGTCGTTTTATCCGTGTATATATATCCCTTAACAAACAAATCAAGGTAGGATTTTGCTCGTAAAAAAATTTCAAGGTGCTAGGCAGAAAGAGAAGACGAAGAGAAATAGTGGTGTTAAGAAACCTAAAAGAAAGGTATTGGAGAAGGGAAAACAACGATGGCGCTAAGATTGATGATGTTTCAAATTTTTGCGATGATGAAGAATAAATATATTTAATACCTTGTGATAGTTTCAAGTGATGTGATACAGAGTCTCTAAAATACGAGCATCAGCTAACCAGCCCACACTTCGCTACATGATTCACGTCGGCAGTTAGGATTTCGGTCTTACCAATCTAGGCTTTCTTTTAAATTAATTGTGCTTCCATTAATTAACAAGCTATATCCAGGTATGCAGTAGCACAGCGTGCTCATTACATGCTGAACTTAAGCAAGTTGGTTACAGTTCACAATCTTATCAGTTGGTATGCTTTCCTTACCTAATACACTATATCTTACCTAAACTTTGCTAATACTGCAGTTCGATCCTACAAGAACAGTTCCAACTAGGCATCCATGATAAAACTGTAATCCCTTCATGTCTTGCGTTCTTTTCTGCTACTTGTTGTTATTGAAAGTTATTTTTACAATATCGTTTGATATGGTTCATTGCACATCGTAATAACAAAATTGTTATGTACGTAACGGAGTTCATACATTAACTAATCACTTACCGAACAGAAGAATGGATGATTATCATGTATTCAGCAAACGCCGAAGCAGCAAATACTTTATAAACAATACTACTGCACAGAAGATTAATATATTTGCTCCGTGATAGCAAGTATTGGGATCCACAGCACGCGTTGCGTCCTATTTTGGATTCGTCATTTGTATCTATCTGAATCCCGTTGCGTGATGGTGTTGCTAAAGAGACTCGAACCTAGCTCCATTGCTTCAACAGGAAATTATAAGCATGGATAAATGATGAGTGATACTCGTTACGTAAAAGGTGGTTGGCGTCACTCAGTCGCCCAGTGGACAACTTTCCGGCGTTCTAAGCAATGAGTGATGTGTTGGAGTTTCAGTGGGAACTCTATCACTCACTGGGAAGCAGATACATCCAAATGGCGAACGTCAAATAAGACGAAAAGCGCGTTGTGTATGCCACTACTTCTCATCACTGAGCAAGTTGATTAGCTTTACTTTTTCCAAAAGTTATACAGTATTTTAATTATTCGTCCATCCGTTTCGTGTAATTCCCATTTTTTGTTTACAACCTCCGGAACCGTCATAAATTAAAAATGTATGTCTAGTACGCATATGATTTAACTTATCAATAAGAACTAATCTCCAGAATGTAGTGTTAGTCGTAGACTTAGCCCTCAGTTTGGTCATATTCGGTTGGTAATCTCAGTTTTTGACTTTTTGGATGTTGATCGTATCCATATGCAAATAGCAGGCTTATTTTAGTAATGATGGATTACGGCTAGCAGTGGGATTCAGGATGCGCATTTTGTCCTATTTTGGACTTGTCATCTGCATGTACCTGCTTTCCAGTGAGCGATGTACTATAATTAGAACATAGGTTATGTCGAGGCATCCACACAGGAGCCCATATGCCTATAAATTTCGTGATAGAACTGATCACCAAAACAAGCTACGAAACAAAGTTTGTAAATAGATATTAAAGATGTAAGATATATTCACTTCTTATCTTGTTAAATGTATCCAAACCATTTTGTTCCTTGTTCTGAAGTTTGTTTATGAACCGCAGAAGTATGCGCCACATGAAACCAAATGTTTTCCTTGTCTGTGTGTTTGTCGGTTAACCTTGAAATGAGGTGTTCACAAAGTTACTGTGATTGTGTATTGCGTGTAAATTTGGTTGTGCAGTATGCGTGTATTACATGTGAATTGGTCAAATAAATGGTTTCACCAAAACCTCATCAAGTGCATCTCTCTTTATTATAATATTTTCACGTAGATTATTGTAGTATGTAGTAGATGGCCGAGCATCACCTTTAAATTATGGTACAGGCAGTTCTAGTGTTTCCTCTATGGCACGTATCGGTCAACTGTCCCAGATTAAGCTAAGCTTACCTAAAAATGCTTATCAGTGCCTCGAAGAGTTTTGATTAACGTGTCTCTTAAGACGAAAGTAATTTCTAGATGTGTATGCTACAGTTATGTATATGTAGATTGATTCATTTCTCACTTTCTAAATGCGATTATGCATGAAGGTAATAAGGAGTTAAGCTATTCGGTGTTAGTTTGCAAAGACGAAATGAAGAGATTATAAGATCTAAGAAAAAGTTTAAATTGGACTACTCTATTAACAAATCACCCTGTAAGCAAAATTTTGTATTATTTAATTAATTCTCCTTTCTGTCATAGTCATTTATTCGTATATTGAAAGTTTTCTCTCCCTATCGATTTAAGTGCATAGACATTAGGCTTGTGAAACAAGCACTGATAAAGTCAACCAACCTTCCTATCGGAACATCCATCATATAATATCAAATTTCAGGAAACACCAAGCATTTGTCACACTTATGATACCCTGTTGGTGCTAACATTGTTTTATGCTTTAAGTATCAGCCTAGAAGCTTACAAATTAAATAAATCATACCTTCGGTATTCTAATAAGCTTTTGGTCTTCAAGAAATGAGATACCAAACGTCTTATACTATGTATGCATGTATCACCATTTTTGTAAAAAGTACATTTTAACTCCTTATACGCATGAATATACCCTTATACCTCATGAATTATTTCATGTGATTTAAGGTCACCTTATTCATTTAAAAGACTTAAAGTTGATCAGGACGCTGAAAGTAGTTTAGGAGAAGTTAATGCACCGTTATCGTTGTTTCATCATCTAAGGTGTATTTTACTTGTGCGTAA